ACCAGGCCAGTGGGTGGCTATATGCTAGGCATGGGAGGCTCCGGGAGTTGTTCGGTTACTACTTTAGAGGACCAAACAAATGCTAGACATGCTGCAGCTCATTCTTATTGCTGGCCTTGCAGACATGCTACTTCTGCCTGTCCCTGGTGATTGTAATTGTCATGTTACATTCGACAGGGTACGGTTTTCGACAAATTCATCTAGGAAATGGGGATGAATTTTGGATAGACTGCACAGTTTGGTCTTCTGAGTGTTCTTGTACCTGAGGATGCTGGGCATCCTACCTACTGGAGAGAGTACTCTTCAAGGTGAACGATTTATCAAAAGAAACGCCAAGGGATGATAAACACCGCTTGCCATGATTTAGCCATGTTTTTCTTCGTTGTACATTCTACCGATTACAAGAAGAGCAAATAATTAATAGACCCGTTTTGCTTGAAAGCAGATGGAGAAAAAATAGTTTGGGCAAAAAGACAAACAAATGTACATTTCATGGCGGTTAAGCAAACAAAAACATCAGCTTTTAATCCGAATATATTGTGGGCTCAAAATTCGGATCACGTATTTAACAAGCTTCACTGCATTTTCCTTGATATGCATTAACTTGGCCAATACATAATCAAACAAAATTAAAGAACACTAGTCAAATAATAGCCAATTAATTTCCTCCTCACCTACTGTTGACCTGATTACCTGAAGGAAACATAGAAAATGTTGCATTTCTTGCAAACAAAGAGTAAAAGTTTGCACTTGTACATGCACAATGAGCTTAGCTGCAAACTTGAATAAGGGGGCACTGAAAATAGGATTATTCATTATTCATAAATTATATCTCCCCTTCCTTCATTTTTTCCTGCTCCATATAAGAATAGTTGAACGAGCACATATACTAAAAGCTAACAGAGAAAGAGGGGGGGGGAGGTGAAAGAGTCATGAGGGCTAGGCCATTGGGTTGCAATGGTAGGCTTATGAGGCATCGAGAATTCTTCTATTACTCGTCGAAATTACCTCTGTGCCAGGTGCTGCATTGAACTGCCAGAGCAGTGTTGACAGCGGTACAAAACAGTGATGGAATGACTGATGTTGTGTTTAGTTGGAGGGGTGGGATGGATGAGGATAGGACGAACGCACTTTTCTTGGTGTTTGATTTGGAGATGGATAGGATGGGATGGTCCATTTAGAGGAATATTCATGTTAAATCCAAATCCAGGTTCAAGCCGCCTAGCAAAATGATATCAACCATCTCGACCCACTTGGACGACTCGTTCGTCGAAATCGGTCGGTTCAAGCCGTCGTCCGCCTGCCCACAGGTCGCCTCATCTAATGTTTCATACATGGATGCTGCCGTGAAGACGCATAAAGGTTTGCGTCCTGATGTACTCTTTGATGTATAGTAAACCTTTTGCCCATAGATAAAAATCCTCATGCCTATGAATTTTGGTTAAGAATTTTGATGGGCAAAATGTACGATGGATCAAATTTTTACGTCCATATATAGATCGAATTTTGATCAAATCTATGGACGTACAGATATATGGGTGAAGAATTTTGATCAGAATTTTGCCCATCAAAATCTATGATGCCTGTGAATCTGTTCAGAATTTTGGTTTGATCGATGATGATGTTTTTTCGATGTAATTTGAAGACAATACTAATCACTTTCAATTGAGCGATACAACATGTATTTGGACTAGTACATTATCTAAAAACATATTTGGACTAGTTATAAATCATGGAATCATAGAGTAGCACAGATCGATCGCAGATGTCTTTTAGTCCCTGAAAGCCTTCCTGCTTGACAGATTACTGCATATGGCACTTCCAATTGAACAATACCATAGAAGAAACTATGGGAAACACAAAATACAGGCATGCAACTAGCTATGATTTGATCATGTTTTTCTTGGTTGTACTGATTAATTACAATATGAAAAAAAAGGGAGAGAGAGAGACATCCGTGTTTTAACTAGGCAATGGAAAACAAAAGTACACAAACAGAGTGTGTTTTCGTGCATGCATTTTCGTAGGAATTTTGAGAAAAAAAATCACCGTGGAAAACCTTGAGTTGTTCTAAGTAATTAAACGGCAGCAGAAATATGCAATCTGGTGGCTGTCAAGGTTGCAAAACACTTCAGTGATACATAATTACAAGGTGTCAAATATTGCATTAATTTCCAGAGGAACGTTAAATTGGCAATTAATTTGGGTAAAAAAAAGCCATCTTTTCTGCACGGACAATATGTTTTGTTGCGATCCGATATCCCTGTCTGCTCGTGGGCTCCACTAGCATGCGTAGTGCAACAAAAAAAAAAGAAGTGATCAATGAACAACTGAAATTAATATTAGTGCATGATATTGAATAAGTAATTAATTGCATGGGATGAAATAGTACATCCTTGTGTAATATGATGATATTTTTTTCCTTTTTGTCTATAAAAGAGCACATCAAGAAATGAGCACAAGTGCTGCAAGGGACGAGAGGAATTAGTAGTCAGTTCATGGAGATGATTCCTGGTGACTTTTGTTGTGGTAGGCCTATGAGGCATCAGGAGCTAATCTTCTGTTACTTTTGGTGGCCTTTGATTCTATAAGAAGGCGGGGTTACCAACATGTTCGTTTCCACATAGTAATTCTTATTAGAATAATTGGGCTAGGCCCAATTTATCCTATTAAATCTCAAAGGCCCATAATAAGTGTTAAGGATAATAATACCACCTCAGGATTTAAGCGAGGAGTATCTCAACCTAAATAGGGAGTTATTGGAGGCTCCTTGTTAACCGGTTGAGGTGGGAGTTGGAAAGCCACGCGCGCGCGCGCGCCGGGCCGAGGCCGTGGGCGGGGCGGGGCGGGCGTGCGTCACGTCGCTATTCTTTTGCGCCCACGATCCCACGTTCCCACGACTGCCTCTCTCCTGCTATAGAAGGAGGCCGCTAGTCCGATCAGAATAGCGCCCACGATCCCACGTTCCCACGACTGCCTCTCTCCTGCTATAGAAGGAGGCCGCTAGTCCGATCAGAATGGTGTTAGTTCTTCCTCCTCCGCATGAACTGCTTGCTTCTTTCCTTCCTGGGTGTTAGTTCTTCCTCCTCCGCGCCTGTGCTGCTCTCGCCTCCTCGCTTCTGATCTCGTGGGCGTGGCTGGCGGGCGTGCGTCACGTCACATCATGTCGCTATTCTTTTGCGCCCATGTTCCCACGACTGCCTCTCTCCTGCTATAGAAGGAGGCCGCTAGTCCGATCAGAATGAACTGCTTGCTTCTTTCCCGGGTGTTAGTTCTTCCTCCTTCGCGCCTGTGCTGCTCTCGCCTCCTCGCTTCTGATTGCTTGCGCACACGAGAGATCGGAAGGAGCAGGGCCTCCGGAACCACACCTTCGCCTGAGATCTGCACCGGGTAGGCGGGTGATCAGGTTTTTGGGGAGTGCTTCCCATACGACTGCTCGTCCACCATGTCTGCGCCTGGAGCCGCCGCTGCTGCTAGAGCTGGAGTCGGAGATGGCGCGCCTGGAGCTGGAGCCGGAGATGGCGCGCCTGGAGCTAGAGCCGGAGATGGCGCGCCTGGAGCTGGAGCCGCGAACGTCAACACCAACGGAGGCAATTCTGCCTCACAATCCAGCGGAGGGCCATTCTCAGGGTATATCCTTCTCCTGCTGTTAACCCATTCGTTCATAGCGCTGTTAGTCCTGTTAGTCGCAAGTCAATTGCGTTCTTGCTATGTTCATGTTCATGACGTTCATGATGCGTATGATACCTTTAGCATGCTACTGGTTATGCTACATGTTGTCACTAGATCACCCCACACTGTTTATGCCATGATTATTGTCTTAACATTTTAGATTAAAATATGCCAATATATGACCATATTTCCAACAATTCTTGGGGCAATAGGATACTGGGTAATTAATCAACTCTAGCTAATTTATACTGTATTAATCAGTTTATCAGAGATTATTAGTAATTTAGGATGTGTTCGTTGGAGGGGGTTGGGAACCCATCTCCTTTGCATGGAAAACCGAGCGGTCCATTAGCGCGTGATTAATTAAGTATTAGCTAATTTTTTTTAAAAAAAATAGATCAACATGATTTTTTAAGCAATTTTTGTATGGAAACTTTTTGCAAAAACACACACCATTTAGTAGTTTGAAAAGTGTGTGCGCGGAAAAAGAGAGAAGGAAGTTGGGAACTACTGCAAAAGAACGCAGTAAATATTTTTATTTTGGGTTCGCCACTGATCGGTGAAGATCGCTCTCTTGAACGGATGAATTTCAATTGGGTACATATATATTGAGTATGTGAGAGCATGGGAGAATGTGATCTTTTCTGCTCTCAAATAACTATATAAATGAGAAGATCTACAGCAAAAGTGCCTTTGGTAGAGATGATGAGCAACGCCAAAGTGGCAGATCCAGCTTCTAGCTATAGACAACAACTAGCCTGTTAAGCAGAGCGCTACAACAACCTGTAGCATTGCCTCGCGCATTTTGCATTGGTGATCTTGAGTCAATAGTTGCTTAAGAGTGATTTAAATTACAATCAAAAAGGTACCGGAAGGTACCACATTTTTTTATTATAACATTTAGTATCACTTGGTACCTACAGCATTAGGAGGTATCAAAATTTGTACTAAAAATTATACATTTTGATGCCTCTTGGTGGTTTTCAAGGACTGTAAATTACTATGCTTAAACATACTGGCTAGTGGAATGCTTTATAGACTAACTAGTTGATTGTAACAGGTTGAATGATCATAATAATATTCCACTGTTAAGAGTCTAAGTGGCGATTTCGATCTGGCATGTCTAGGTGCAACAAGTATATATCCATACATCTTCTGAATATTTTGTATTTCCACTAGACAATTATTCAAAAAATTCTTGAAGATAAGGACCGTCCCTATATCCATGTTTCAGTGCACCTAATTTTATCTCGACCTTCTAATTAATGTTCATTCAGATGGCCCTGAAGGCACTGAAAGTTTAATTAATCACCATCTAGCAAGTGAAGTTAATTAACCATGGGGCATTTAGGGCTTCCCACTGAAATTTTTTATATAGTGGGGCATGCATACATTCAGTATGTAGTCTGGTAAACTAGTAGGTGCACATTGAACCACAATAAAATTATTCCCGAAGTCTCCTTTATTTCTTTGTTCAGGCAGTTGCCCCTATATCTTCCCCCTATTGGACAATCAAGAGGACCATCTTGTAATACCAGAACTTCTGGCCTTTCTTCTTAAGAAAGATCAGATCATCAGATAGTATATCTCATCACAATATTTTATTTGGCCCATAAAAGGATTGAAACAAAATCTGAGGATTGGTGCTCAGTGCAGGTTCATATGGATGTTAAAGCTCAAATAGCTCCAGCATTTCCTGGCAAATCATAGGCATAGAAGGCATCGGGAGTTCTACTGGCAGTTTGTCACTTGTGGCCAGCTCATGGGGTGCATTTCACACTACTTTGTCATGAGTTGAAAGACCTGAACATGATGACATTTAGTTATGTCCTGGTAAGCATCTTCCAGATATTGACAAACTTGGAAGTTTGACTAAAATTGGAAGTTTGAAGAAAAAAATTGGAAGTTTATGTGTGTAGAAAAGTTTTGATGTGATGGAAAAGTTAGAAATTTAAAGAAAAAGTTGGAAACTAAACAAGGGCTGAAGCACCTCTAGGATCTATTCATGGTCTATTGCCCAACTTGAGCTCTCCAAAACTGTTTCCATAATCTTGACAAATTAAGGTAGAATAAAAAATGGTGAACGATGTATTATTATCAATTTTTAGAAACTAATACATAAAGTTAGTTACGACCAGGAAATTTAGAGTAGAATAGCTTCCGGCAGAACAAATTTTAGACAACATTTCGTAGATTAAAAAATCTGTGTAAAGCAAAAATGTTTAATTCTCATTAGATATGGTGATTTAATATATACCAACTACCAAGTAAACATGAAATGAGTTGGGCCCTTAGTCAGCTAATTAATCCCTGGCAGCCCAGTCCTATTTCTAGCTCACCTAATGAACATGACTATATACATTGCATACTTAACTGTATTGAACCAAACAATACATCCCTACAAGATATATATGGTGACTTGTCTTGGTCCATAAAAGAGAAGTAAAAGAAGAACCAAGTGCCGCAAAGCTACCGGTGAGACATGAACAGTAGTCCATGCAGGCTGCTCCAAGCCTCCAATGACATTTGCAATGGTAGACTTAGGAGGCATCAGGAGTTCATGTGTTATAACTGACCCTTCTATATATTACTAAATGGCATGGTTGCCTACTTAAATCCAATGGTGTTAGAACTACTGATAAATTATCTTTAGCAATGGCGACTGAAGTTTCTCTATACTATTTTAAGAGTTCATTTGACCTGTGTGTAAATATAAGAATGCACAATATCTGTAATATCCATCATTAGAAAAAACCGAAGGATTATTAAAAAAAGGTTTTTCTGAGCCCTTTTTTTCCTGATAATGTGCCACTGCTTTATAGATAACTTGATGAAAAATGTATTACTGGCATGTTGGATGCTCTTCTAATATGGTTGGCAGATCTGTACCTACGTAGAAGCAGAGTAAATTATCTAAAGAAGAAACAGAGTAAATTATATTAATTATATGCAAATGATTCCAAAACTTTTTCAGTGCTTGTTCAGGCATATGCATAATCATCTGCTACTTGTTGTTCTGATCATGAACAGAAGTGGATGCTTTTTAATATACAGAGACCTTGTTGAGACTGGACGTGTCACCTAGATGAGTACGGTTCAATAGGCAGAGATCAACTAGACGAATACATCTGCAGGATCATGCAAGATATAGGCCTAAGTGCCTAACACTTATTTATAGACAGTTATGTCCACCCGATTTTGAGTACTAAATGCATGTAGCCAGATTGCAGCATTCTTTTCTATTGTCCTCTTCTCTTCTTTTCTTTTTCTTTTGTTCTCTTTGCTATGAAGGTAAGACTATATAAGGATCTCTCCTCTGAGTTCAGACCTGGGTAGTCTACATGGTCATGCTGAGTGCTACACCAAATGGTAGGTCTGAGAAGCATCAGGAGTTTTTCTACCAAACCTGAGAAGACTCTGGACTTCTGTCCAGAGATGGGCAAACCTAGACCTCCAAATTCATGAAGGTCGATTGCACAAACGTAGAAGACTGGTGGTACAAGCCATCACGCATACCCCACGTCCCGAGGAAAACCTTGCGGCTTGGGGGCTCTAGTGCGAGCGCAATGCCAATATCTTCTGGCACATAGCTACCACAACAACCATGGTCGTCACTAAGATTAAGGAAAAAGCACAGACGTGGATCAAGACAGGAGCCACCAAAATCACAGAGATCATCCCCTTCAGAGAGTAGTCTTTTGTTCTGTTTTACAGGTCTATTATTTTTATGATAGACCATGTATATAATACTTTTGTGGGTTTTCTCCTTCTCTATTAATAAAAAAAAGCAAAGCTTTTGCATTCCTTCCCCCAAAAAAAAAAAACAAGAAGATACGCACAGTTCACATAATTGCGAGTCCAGCTACGATGCAATGCCATAGATTGTTGATAGCAACATTCTGGTTGAGCTAAAGCGTGAACATCTCAAATGCCATGCAAATTGTTACTTCCTCTGTTCACGTTTAGTTATCACTTTTGACCATAGTATGCATATTTAGCTAATCACTTGCTTGCCATGAAATGGCCATATTATCCTTCAAAACTAACTAAGAACATTCTAGAGCTACCTAGCATTCGGTGGACTGAATAGAAAGGAGACAATTAATAAGGTTCAATACATTTTCATTTAGATTAAGACATACGATTAATTAATAATTTGGCCAGTACATAATGAAACAAAATTTTAAAAAATTGTAGTTAGAACCTACCCATTTCTTCTTCACTGACCGCCGGCCTGATTATCTGAAGGCAATCCTATTTTGTGTATCTTGCAAAGAAAAGGTATAACCATCAAAAGGATTAAGGTTGCAACTGTAGATGCACACTGAACTCAACTGCAAACATGAATAACTGCATGGGAATTAGATTGTGCATTCATATATGATATCCTGCTCACCTTTTTGCTGCATATAAGAATAGACAAACGAGCACAAGTGCTACAAGCTGACAGCAAGAGAGAGATAAATGAAAGGCTCATGACGCTAGGCCAATTGGGTTGCTATTGTAGGCGTAGGAGGCATCAGGAGTTCTTCTGTTACGAGGGAAGAATATGACTGTGGCAGGTGTTGCATTGAACTGCAATCGCAGTGCTGATATGGCCGCTTAGGGGTAAAGATCTGGCTGAGAGATCTAATGTTCCATACATGCAGCTGGCTGTGGGCGTTGGCAGAAGTACTGGACTTAGCGGGCGCTAGGGCTTCAGCTCATTCTGCTATGTCCGCATGGACATCAGCATCTAGAAGTCCTCTTTTAGAGGTGTCTAGCCAATAGAGCTCTGAACTTATTTAGAAAAGAAAAATAAGAAGGATTTTTGGTTAAGGGAGATCAGTAATTTTGCCTAGGGGCTAAAATGATGTTTGAAAATCCTTTCTGGAATTTGGTTTGCCGATCAAGGTTTTTCAATATAATTTGACGACAATAATACTCAATTTCAATTGAACAGTACTGCATGTATTTTCTGGACTAGTGATTGCATGGAATCGTATAGTGGTAAAGATATTATTTGCAGATATGCATTCCCTTTTGGTCCATTGAAGCCTTCCAGCTGGACTATTTACAGCATATGATGCTTCCAGTTGAACAATAGTTCAGAAGAAACTACGGGAGTGAAAGTACAGCGCTATGATTTTTTTGATCATGTTTTTCATCGTTGCACTTATTGCGGGAAGAAAAATGTTTTAGGCAATGTAAAACACATGGACAGATGCAGATCGATCCTCCTAGGGCTGTTAAGCCATCTAAATATCAGTATTTCAGCAGGACATTCAATGCATTTTCCTTCAGATGAAGACATACTTAAATTTTCATTCAGGACTGATGAATGTTCAATGCATCAAATTTTAGCCATTTCTTGCACACCAACTATTAACCTAACCGCTTGAAGGCAATATATTTTTCATAGCTTGCAAGGAAAATTTATAGCCATCACAGTGATTCTAAATTTTGCACAGCTTTCAACATTCGTTCATCCATGAAAAGGATTTTAACATCTGCATAGTTGGCTACATATCGACCATACCAATATTCCAGACCAGAGCAACATGTTCAGCTTAGAAAGGAGTTACCATTACTCATCAGAAGGGAAGAACCAAGTCAGATACTGGCGTTTCCAGCGCAGCTCAGACATCACCGCCCTGGGCCGCAAAAGGTTGATTGTCCCATCTCTCATGTTGTACACGCCAGAGTCACCAAGAGGATCAACACATGGGCCGTGGCACTCTTTCGTCGGATTGTCGTAGATCCTATGCATGAAGTAGATACAATCTTGCTGAATTCCATCTGCACATTGGCTAGCAGTGACAGACTTGGAGCACTCTGAACTAAGGAAGATTGCCTGGTCACCCAAGCTGTCCACCTTCACCCACTGGCCATGGCCATCAGAGATTACCGCCGCAAAGACCTCGAATCCCCGCGTCTTGTCCATGTCACCCGCGTAATACTGCTGCCGACAGTTCATCCACCTCCTCACCATCAACAGCCTGCCATTGGAACCCACCAGGTATCTCAGCACCAAAGACTTGTTCTTAGTGCTCCCATCGATGTAATACTCATGCTGGTTGGGATCATCGGCGATGCACCGACGATGCGACGCGTTCGGTGGATCGTCGACGCCATTGCTGCCGAGATCAAGAACAAGGAGCCCTTCTGCATTGGTGAGCGTGTAGAGGTTTCCACCCAAGAACGCAATGTCGGAGAACCGAGTAGGATTCAGTCCGGGAATCTGTGGCGCCATGAGGCCGGAGACGATGGTGACCACGCCTCGCCGCTTGCAAGGGGCGACGGCGACGTGCCTCCCGCCCGATGTGACGACGGCGACGAGGGGATCCGGCGACGAATCGAGCGGCGAGGAGAGGACCGATTTGGAGTACACGTTGACGTAGGCCCCGATCCCGATGAATACCCCCGGCTGGCCGATCGCTCCGTCCACGGCGGCGAGGTTCAGCCATGGGAGAGGCGTGATCGCCGCCGTCGCCGCTGAAGCAGACGAGGAGAGGGGGTTCAGAAGGGAGCAGCCGCCGTCGCGGTGTATCAGGAAGGCGAGGTTGTCGACGGCGAGGTGGCCGACGACGCCGTGGCGGGGGATGGGGGTGGGGCAGCGGATGGGCTCGCCGTCGAGGTCGACGAGGCCCCCGTCGCGGAGGGCGAGCCACGGCAGCGGCGGGGGCAGCCGCGGGTGGCGACCCCGCGCGGCGCCCGCGCGCCAGGAGCGGCAGACGGCGCGGAGGCGGACGCGGTCGGGGAGGGACGGGAGGCGGAGGAGCACGAGGCCCAGCAGGTCCGCCGGGAGGTCCCCCCACGGCAATGGCGGCTGCGCCGCCGCCATCTTCCTCCTCGTCGTCGTCGGCGGCGGCGGCGGCGGCGGCGGCGGCGGTGTTTGGGAGAGAGGAATGGTGTGTGAGTGTTCTATTTAGATGGACTATTTAGATGGGCCACACGGAAGGCCCATTTCAAGCCCATGTGAAACTGAGTCTTATTGTTTGGCCCAATTAAAAAAAAGAGAGAGGCGAATTTAACAAAACTATAGATTTATTTATAAGGTATGGTATTACACAACCACATTTTTATTGTGATAAAGTTATTTAATAACTATAAAATTTAGAGTTTATAAAGCTGTAGTTGTGTGATAAAATTGAAGTTAAATATGTAATTCTGTGATACATTGTTTTAGATCTATAGTTTCATAACAAATATTCATGTTAGCTATATTGAAAAGAAAAAAAAATTATACTTGATTTGTTGTTAAAGTGTAGTGATTTTTGTTATGTATCTGTATGAGGATATGTCCAAATACATAGCCAATAGTTACTATATTTATATTTTGGAATGGATGGATTAGGATTTAGGTGTTTAGGGGTGAGGCGAGGTGTGGACTGGCCTCCGTCCCGTCAAATTCGGGTGCCCTGTGGAAAGTTGAAGGATAAAAACTTAATTAATGATATAATATGAAAATAATTTATTCTCCGTAATATATTTCATAGCAATCTAGAATGGCCTAAAATGATAATCCAATATTAGGGATTACCGGATTAGAAATTACCAGAAAGAATTAGGTCAGAGGCGCAGCAGGCGTCAGGCGGCACGATCGTACGAGAGAAAGAGGTGAGGCGTCGTTTACTCCTCTTGTTCGTTGCGATTGGCGATTGGCGAGATCCACAGTGGGAGGCGATTCAAGATTGCGAACCGGCGCAACTGTGCGAACCGGCAAAGGCGTGTAATCGAAGCCGAAACAACAAGAAAAATAACATATTTCTAGACTAGTTAGGCTACCAATTTACTTATTGAGTTGTATATCTAGTTTTGAAGTTTTGGGCTTAGGGGGACCCTGAAAATTGGGGGCCCTGTGCGGGCGCGCTGGCCGCACACCCCTAAGGACGGCCCTGCTAGAGTGCTAGGATGGATGAGAACTTTTAGTTTCCTTGTCAAACCTTCCAAGTGAGGTGAACATATTACACCTCCAATAACTCACGACATGTTCTAAAAAAAACCAATAATTCACGACATAAAGATAGAGAGGTAGGTTCTACAATGAATAAGAAATAACATTACAAAATGGTCATCAAGTCAAATATATATACAGCCCTTGTTGCCTTGGTCCTGATAGTTCATACATTGAAAAGCATGTGAAGGAACAGAAATGTTCAAATCTAGATAGGAGATGAGCATTTCTTGTTTCATAGTACATTTCTTGCTTCAATTTGGTTGGCATACGAGGCATCAGGAGTTCTCACCCCACAGAGTAACAGTGGAGTAAGTTCTCGCGTCATCATCTCTCCTTGGTTAATTTCAGTCCAAAAGATGGCTAATTACATGCTCGAATTAGATCAACTATAGATGAATATATGTCCTATAGTAACCAACCATACATTGCTTGTGTATTGCAGTTCCTGCCAAATCCAAGCGCGCCTGCGAAATTTCTGAGCACATTGTGCCATTGCCATTGTAGACAATTCACAGGCGAAATACGAAGGTTGGTCTCATTCGAAAGGTTATACGATGCAGCATTATGGCATATGCAATGTAAGTGCTTAGGTTATACGCCATGTCGATCTGGGACGCGATAGCATTGCCACGCGTTGGAAGGAATATTGAAGGACGAGGAAGAGCGGATGACAATTTGGTCTCAGATAGTATTATAGCGTGCTGTTCACAGGTTGAGAATGGTATTTTATCGAATTCATTTTGCCGAGTGGCATTGAGGTAAAACGAATGGTATTTTATCGAATCCCTTTTGCCAAGTGGCGTTGAGGTGAAACGCACTTTTAACAAATGGCATAATCTCGGATTTCTCCTAGCTAGATGAGAATGTCCTATGTAGTAACTAACTGTACATTGCTTGTGTACTATTCCCCATCTCTCTCAGTGGCAGAGTGTCGTCCGGAGCAGTCGTCGGAGCCCAGTACCACTGCCGCTCGCCACCAAGACAGAAGAACGAAAAGAGAGAGCGCAATTTTATTTATTTAGAGAAGGGTATTTTTGTTTACTCTGCCTCTACATCCAATCAGATATATGCAGCATTTTTAAATTAATTAGGAACTTAGCCTATCGAACAGGAAATTTAGCCCTCAAATAACATAATACAATTTTATTTATTTAGAGAAGGGTTTTTTTTACCCTGCCTCTACATCCAATCGGATATATGCAGCATTTTTAAATTAATTAGGAACTTAGCCTATCAAACAGGGAATTTAGCCCTCAAATAACATAATACAATTTTTTTTATTTAGAGAAGGGTATTTTTTTTACCCTGCCTATACATCCAATCGGATATATGCATCATTTTTAAATTAATTAGGAACGGAAAAGGCTATACGTACTAACTTTTTCTTACTAGATTCTTACTAACACTGATGTGTCATGCTATGAGTGCATCTAGATTTTTTTAACTTCCATCTACTTAAATTAAACGGTTGAGATGATTGTTAGTAAAAGTTTAGTAAGAAAAATTTAGTACGTGTAGCATTGCTCATTAGGAACTTAGCCTATTGAATATGGAATTTAGTCCTCAAATAACCCAATCTGAAATTCACTCCTATGGAGATTTAAACTCAGGACCTTAGGCTGCTACTCAGGTCATTGCAACTACTAGGCTACATGCCCTTTCACAAGGGGAGTGCAATGAACAGCCTGCTACGGCAAAGGCTGTAATCTTTCTCTCCACCACCATCCAAGAAACCGGAGCACATACACGAGCAAAGCAAAAAACAACCAAAGTAAAAAAATTACCACCGTCAGCTCGGAACTGGCCAGAGATCGACCAATTATCACCACTGATCGACATGAACATGGTAGGGATCAGGTACTAATTAATCTCTCTCTAATCAGCACAAACATATATATACCGTCAATGGAAATCTGGTCAACACGAGCTGATCAAAACGAACACACAACAGTTTGTTATACGCCATTTATTTTCTTTTTCCTTGATGACATCAGTTCGCCGGAGGCTGTTTCTGATCACGGCGGATGGCGATGGCCGCGGATCCATGGGGACTACACCGACATGTTGCAGGATGTGGATGAGAGGCTACTGCCGTCAGAGACAGCGCCAAACTTTAAAATATTTGAGTATGAATAATTTCGAAAATGTTTGTCATAAACATAGAACCATGTGTATAGAATAGTGTAATCCATTTCCATTATTAACAAAATGTGTATAGATTAGTGTTAAAAAGTACTTTAGTAAAATTTATATTTATTGATATTATATATATATTATAATAGAAAATGGTGGTCAAATTTATTTTTCGAAGACCGCGTCCTTATTCAAAACCATTAGTATTATCAGCTCTTCGGGAGTAGTAGCCAATAGCTAAAAATATCACAAGAAACAAGGTCGAACCTTGATAGACCTAAGGACGTCATCCCATGGCCTAGAACACGGGGGCATTTTCGTCCCCACCTTGTAAAAGGCCATTGTGTATCATGTTTCTTGACCCTATTCCTCGATCCTATCGACATGGGAAGTTTGCAACTATTTAATTTGCAGTCTAATAGGCCTTGATCAATACTAGTTCCATACCAAAGAAAAGCCTATGGAATTTTCACCTGGACAGTGCATTTAATTATTGTGCTATACCTTTTTCTCTATAAAAGATAAGACGAAGAAGAGCATATTGGAGTACACCATATGATAATGTGACTGCTTGTTCAATGTCTTTTTTTTTTAGGTTTGGCAGGTATTGGGAGCTTTTACTTTACCAATTTGTTGATTCTAGCTGTGCAAAATCTTCCTTTGGAGTGTTGTCTTGTACACGGGTAGGCCAGGGGGGATGCTATGACTTATGAGAGTCTGCAGCATTGACAGTTTGCTTCAGTTGTCTTTTACTTTCACTTTTGTATGGTTTTAGGCCCTGTTTAGTTCCCACGTAAAAATTTTACAACCTGTCATATCGAACGTTTGAACACCTGCATAAAGTATTAAATATAGGCTAAAAAAATAACTAACTGCACATGTTGTGACTAATTTACGAGACAAATCTTTTAAGCCTAATTGCTCCATGATTTGACGATGTGATGCTACAGTAAACATTTGCTAATGACGGATTAATTAGGCTTAATAAATTCATCTCACGATTTACTGACGGATTCTGTAACTAGTTTTTTTATTAGTACCCGAACACCCCATGTGACACCCTATATAAGACCTGATGTAACACGCCAAAATTTTACATCGCTGGATCTAAACACCCCCTTAATCCTATTGTCGATTGTATACCCATTCTCGCTGATCTTATCTTCATAAATCCCATCGGTCGGCATACTTTCCCCAGCCCATGGCTTGAATAATTGCATCATCATCAAGTCAAATATATATACAGCCCTTTGGCTTGGTCCTGATGGTTCATACATTGGAAGATTATGTGAAGGAGAAGAAGTGTTGTAGGCTAGAAGAGCATGTGATGAACCTTTCTTGTTTCACAAAGACAATGAGTTGTTTTCTTGGCGTAGGAGGCATCAGGACTACTCACCCTCAGGGTTCACCTTACCGTTTTGGGGGGGGTTACCGACCCCCCGCGGTATGGTGGTTACCGCGGTAACCGTGCAGTTACCGCGAAAAACCGCACAAATTTCGTTTCCAAATTTTTGAATTCAAAATCCACGGTATGGACACGGTAACCGCACGGTTTGGTACGGTAACCGCGGTAAGACGACGGTAACCGCGATATGTTGGAACTGAAATAAGAAAAATGAAAAAAATAATAGAAAAAAACTAAAATGTGAGTATTTTAGTTAATTAAGATGTGGTTATACAACAGAAAAATTCGGCATGACCTACTCTATATTGTGGAGTTCAAATCAATACAATAATTCATAACATTATAACAACAATAACAATCATCAATCTCACATTTCAAAGCATAACGATGTCCACATGTAGGTCCAGAATAACAATACAGTCCAGAATAACAATATAGTCCACAATAACAATAGAGTCCACAGTATAATGTCCACGATTACAATTCTAGTTCGAATGAAAGGAAATAAACAAGGACATGCATAGCTACGCATTCCACTGATTATATGCCATATTGTACTCCTCTGTGGACATGAGCATCAAGCCATGTGAATGTAGCAACCCCGCCTTGTATTCCTCCCAACTTTGACCTGTCCATGATGATGTTGTTTGCCACTGAGCGTACAATTGAGCATACCACTGAGGTTCTTGCCATTCATACACCCATGTAGTAGCAGGATAATCAGAAGCTTGGGGACGGTTGTACACATACGTTGGATAGCCACTTTCAAAGCTAGAGGCACTGAATGAGCTAGAGCTATCCTGTTGTATGTCACTGAATTGTTGCTGTTGTCGGACTCCCGGTGCAATGGTAGTTCGTTGAGAGCTTGGAGCACCATGATCCTGGTCCTGAGTAGCATGAGTGAAGTCGCCCTCACCTGCAAATCAAAAAATTGCAAGAAAATTATCCAGTACTGAATTGGAAGATGAAGGTTGAAATTGCAACTGAATTATATCACACCAGTGAATTGAACGGGGCTGTGGTGATCTGATTGTTGGGTGTGACCCCTAGGAGGCACATTAGTAGTGCCTTGGCCTCCTTAACCATCGTCGTCGCCGTCATCTGTTTCAGTTCTTGAGCTACTATCATTGGACTCTTGGTACTCTGGGCTTCCTTGGGTCTCTTCATCGCTATCAACACTAGTCGATCGTGGACCCTTGCCCTTTACCTTTTTAGATGGACGTGCTTTTGGCGGCTTTCGAGTCTTCCTTTTCCCAATATGAGTGTCACCTACATTCGTATCAGCCCACTCAGCAATACTAGAAGCTCCCGTGGTCCTTCGCAGGTCATCCAAGTTGACTAGGTCAGACACAAGTTGACTAGGCAGGGGAGCGTCACTCTCAGCTGAATCTTCATCTAGTTCGGGGCAAGCATTAGAGCGAGCATTGTCCATCCAGGCACTGATATGATTGTTAGTTTCATAGAATGAGAGGTCCGCTAATCTTTGAAGGGGATCATCGTCCTCCACCCTAATTTGGGCATTTGCTTGCTGAATTCGAAGGCGAAGGTTGTAATTCACGTACACTAGCTTGTTGAGCTTCTTGTGGGTAAGTCTATTACGGACCTTCGTATGTACGAATGCGAATGTGCTCCAATTCCTTTCACATCCACTGGAGGAGCAACATTGACCAACCAAACGCAACGCAAGCTTCTTCAAATTCGGCGTGTCTGAGGCGAACATAGACCACCATTGTGCTGCAAAAGCCAAGTAACATGTCATTTCATAATTCTGAATACATCAAGATCAATTAGATATATCATAGTTCCATGATTAGAAACATACCAGGTGAAGTTTTCCCATCTATGGCCATCCTTCTTGCTAGTGCCCTCCCAAATTCACCCGTCTTACGTCGGTACATCTCAACCTCCAGCAAAGCGGCGGCAGCCGTATCGATATCCGTCATCCACTCGAATGCCTGTCGGAGGTCTTGGAAGACAGTAGCACTTGGAGAATACGCGTAGTGCGTCCTAGGGTTCAATGCGGCAGCTACAAAACATGGCACAGGTTAAGTAAGAGTTACATAATATGCCATGTGGATTATGTTATGATCAATATTTACCGGCATTGATGAGAGTCTCATTGGTTAGGTTGTGCATCCTTCTGTTCACGATCTCCATGTATGCTTCAAACTTGTCCCTTTGATTCGCAAAAAGACTGTCGTACTCCATTTTGAGCAACTGATATCTCAAAAGTACCTCACTCAAATTGGGGTTCTTGTCCTCGTCAGCAAACCGAAGGAATGAGTACATAGGTTGGACAGAATTCACTACTGCCTCTAAGTTCTCCCACCAAGACAGACTAGATAGACATGCATGTGCATATTTACCTTCCAAAGTCCCACTAAATTTGCTTTGCATGAAGACAGAGGAAGCCATCCATTGCATGAAAAGATCTCGCTTCCTAAGGAAACTCTGGAGAAACATGTAGTTTGTTCCGAACCTTGTAGCATTCCACTTAACCAGTTCACCACCTATAGCTAAGACCATCATAGCATGCAACTTGTTATGATTGTATAGCCATCTGCAAATTTTCCTAGCACTCTCAATCACCATTTCGTGGTCTGGCATTTTCCCAACCTCCTTAAGCATCAAGTTAACTGTGTGTGCCACACAAGGTTGCCACACAATTGTCTTGTATTCTTGCCGTAGTAGTCTGCACGCCTTCTTGTAGTTAGAGCCATTGTAAGTGATAATTTGAACAACATGCTCCGAGCCTATTTCGCGTACTACCTTCCTTATCTCCTGCATTGGTAGATAACATAATAAAAATTAGTCCATGCCCCTAACACTGACGATAACAGGTGATGAAGTAATTTGTTGCATGAACCATACATACCTTCAGCACAAAGTTAGCATCCTGGCTTTGCCCGGTCGCATCAATGGACTTGTGGAAAAACATTATTCCATTGCAGTATATCAGAAAATTGATGACCGACATACTCGTCGGACCTGTCCAAGAATCACACATTATAGTAACACCGTACTCATCCCAATCCTTCTTGAACCTATCAAATTGCTTCTTCACATCCTTCTCTGTAGAATCAAGATATTTTCCATCTATCTCGTTACCAGTTGGAGAAGGTACACTTTCACCTACAATTGACGTATGAAATAAGTAGTGCGCAATGAGTTAGAAAAAAAGAAGTTCCTTAATAGATGCATACGTACCCCACTTTTGTGTCTCCCGAACGGCGCTCACAAAGTATGGATTATCGGCGTTTCTACCAGGAATGCCGGCGGTAAAGAAGAACCTTGCCCATGACTCACCAATGGCTTGCCTAGCTTGCTTCCCCTTCTTTGTGAAGAATCCTGTGTCAATGCGTGGCTGCACAGGGGCCTTGGCAGATGCTAGGTTGTAATCTCTCACAGCAGGTGACTCCCTATGAGACGTAGCCCTTCGTAGCATATTGGTAATTGGGTTACTTCTACCTTTCCGTGCCTCCGGCTGAGCGGATCCACTCCCACCGCCATGCTCATAAGTGCCACCACGCTCCTCAACATCCCTCCTAAAGTTTTCGTCTTGTCGTGAGACTGCAATGGCTGCTTCCATTTGTTCCTCCTCGTCGGCATCACCTGTTAGGTCATAATAGTTGACCCTTGCTGCTTCAACCCTTCTTCCGCTATCACTCTTACGCTGGTCACCTGCATCTTTTATCCTGTCCAACTCACGGCAGAAGAACTCACGGACATCCGGAGGCACTGAATTGCAATATGTAACCCCCTTCCCTCTTGCAGCCAAGTGTTGCTTTAGTCTTGTTGCCCCACCACCGCCCCTCTTTGTATGGCAATACTTACAGCGCCATCCAGGTGGGATATTCTCCCCGTGCTCCCACACAGGGTCCCTACTATCTGACATCTCCACCCTGTATCAAATGCATGAGAAATTATCACTGCTAATTATAAACATACCTCCCATTATGCAATAATACGACGTAATTATATGTACACTGGTAAGCATGCATCCAAATTCTTCCATACTATGACGTATTTAATTTAACCTATATGTACATAGACCAAAGCAATCAAATATACTTCACATGCATGGTTTTAGCCAAGCACGGGCAACCAAATGCCGAAATAAACTCATATTCCCAATGTATTTCACATGCATATTGGTAAAAATATGTTCTATTGATATGTCCATGCATATCACAGTAAAAAATACCATACCACGGTTCAAGCCATGGTAACCACGGTAGGGTGGACGGTTACCACGGTTTTCACACGATTACCGCACATACGTATATCGTCTCATAGATTACGAAGCCGATGGTAACCGTACAAAACCGCATGGTTACCGCTCCTAACCGCGCGAAAACCTTCAAAACGGAGGGATTACCTCTTGCCCGTCGACCCAGGCGGTTACCGTCGCGTACCGCGCGGTTACCGCCGCTTACCGCGCGGGAACCGGCCTCGCCGGCGCGAAGGCGGCGGATTTGGCGCGGGCGCACGCCGTCGCCCCTTCGGTCCTGAGCGCAGCTACGCGAGAGAGGGGAAAAACGGTAGGATTCGCCAGAGAAACGAAGCAGAGGCTTCCAAAGATATTTTCCTCCCATTGTGGGCCTTATTGGGCCTCGTGAACAGTGCATACTTGGCCCATTCCATTTAATCTTTTTTCTTTTTTATAATTCACAATAGGTTTTGCGCTCAAATTTGAATTTACCTGCATCTTTTTGATGAAATTTTTTCACCATAACAACATACAAAACAAGCTTTACATCCATGATTTTTTTTTGATTTTTTTCGATTATTTTTCAAATTTTTGAATTTGAGCAAAATTTGCCCAAACCCTACCGCCGGTTTTCGTTACCGACCCCCCACGGTAAGCCCGGTAACCGCGGTTACCGCGCGGTTACCGGCGAGAAAGTGAACCCTGCTCACCCTACAACGTGACACTACTGTAAGTTCTTGCCTCATTATCTCTCTTTTCTTTCAGTCAAAAAAATAGCTTACAAGCTCAAATTAGATCGATTTGATGAATGCCGTCCTACAGTAACTAACTATAAATTTGCACGCGTACATATTGCAGTTCTTGCAAAATCCTAGAGTCAGCGAAATGTTTGAGCACATTAGTCCATTGGAATTGGAGACATTTCACTGCCAAAATACAAATGTTGGACACATTCAGAAGGTTCCTTGGTGCAGCCTCATATCATGCCTGCAATTGAATGCTTGGGAGGCACAACTATGTTCTAAAAATGCCGGGTCAGTTGAAGGATTTGGACGATCAAATCTTATTAATGCCGAGTTGCGGAAATGACAAAATCAGTTATTACCCAAAAGAAAAAGGGAAAAAGCAGAATTAGAAACAAAGCATCAACAAACTACATTTATCGGAAGGTCGAAGATAATTTGGTGTAATGTAGAACATCAATATGCTTCATGAACTCAAGGTTTAGTAAGATATATCCTCATCAGTTCCGTCTTGGAGGCGTAGAAGCCAAAATCAGTGTGAAGGCACCTTTTGATGATTTTTGTGTATATATGTTGTCACACTTATGTTATTAAATTTGGTCGGTGTACGTACTTTCGGTAGGATCAAATCCCTAACTTGGTGTGATAAATTCGGTGCAGTTTTTACGTGACGTGATGATAGCTTTCCTGCATAGTTTTTCTTTAGGGATATTCAGAATTTTCATCAGATTTAATATTTTACCCTCGTGTGCTGATCAACTGGGATCTCTCCTCTCAATGGAGAGATATACTAACATTACATGAAAGGTAGGTGCAGAATACTTCTTGGCTGCAAAGTAACTGTCCTCAAGGAGGGATCAAATAATTCATCTGTCAGTGACATGGGTGATCTCGCACAACAGGATCCGCCCCTGCGTAAATCGATACTCACAAAGGTTTACTAAATTTTCGCCAACTTTAAACAAAAATTTACTAACAGGGGTTGAATAAATTGTATTTCTCCCTTTATGTTGGTGGCTTTATAACGTGTCTTCTCTTTATTTTTGGTTAGATACTTTATTTTGATTTTAAAACCAGGTACATTGTACTACGCGGATATAACTTCTGTTGAAGCAAAAGGCTGGATTTTATCCATTATCGAAACAAAAATACCTTGCTGCCAATTTTGCTCCATATAAGATGAGACATAAAAGCCCAAGTGGCAAGTGCTGCAAGCTGATAGAGTGAAATGATAAGAGTGGATCAGACCAGTGGCCCGGTTGCTATGCTAGGCCTGGGATGCACCAGGAGCTGTTTGCTCACAACGGGACAGACATGGTGATGCCGCAAGGCGCTGCCCAAGAGGTGAAAGGAGTTGCCATTCCCCCCAATCCAGCATCAGGTTTACCATCGCCAAGTAAACCTGACTCTTGCGATGGAGCAATACCGCCGCTTACTACTAGCCTTTGTTGGATTTCATTCTCCTTGGTGCACATAATCTACAATGGCTAGGTGATCCCAACTGCCATGTCCTGTACGTGAGATATATCCTTGCACATTGTTGAGCTGATCACATTAAATTTTGGGCCAATCAGTAAAACTCTCTGCGGTTATTTTGGGACAGAGTGAGCTGATTTCAGTGTCTGCTTATTGTTAATTGAATCCCTTATAAATCGACATGACTTCCACTTATTTCGTTCTTTTTTTTAAACGGCATGCACCAGACAGTGTGACATGTGCATGTAAATCATGTGGTTTGTTAGTCCTTGATCTTTTCATATGTAGTTCAAATTAATGTTTTCCACTTTGTGTGATATGAATATATCATACAAAAAATCTCTAGAAAATCATACGAGTTCAATAACAAGCTTCCTTAGTCTAAATAGAAGAATTCTCTAAAAAATGATATAAAAAGTTTGTAAATGAACAAGTACATGGTTACGAGCATGTTGATGTGTCTCTGACCCTGGTCCCGCTCAACCCTTCGAACTTGCTTGCGAGTTGTGACTCCAAGATCCCATTTTATTATTTTGACTCTATATAAAGTGTTGGGACCAAAGAGAAGTTTGAATTTTTGCACAAGCATTTTCATAGGAATTTCGAAAAATAAAATCATCTATCGTGGAAATCCTTGAATTGTTATAAGTAAACTGCAGAGATGATGCACACTGGTCTCCAACTAATCCTAAATTCTCCCACATTTTATATGTCATCCATGTACCATGTTGGAACATTTTACATATGTTGCCATATCACGCCATTCATGAATCTATAATCCTACAGCGAACCTTTATTTTTTGTGACACATGAGGGCATAACTAATTTCTTGCCTATCCTTTTTTTTATCTAAATTAATTGGCTCAACAAGACGGCCGTGAGTGTTCAACACTTAGTGGTGACATATGGTGGTGTGGTCTCTTTTTGTTCCATAAAAGAACATGCAGGTGATTGAGGCATCATGAGCTCTTCTATTACATCTACGAATCTTCGATTGTACCGAACATCATGACCCCCAAAGTGTAGACCTCAAATTTTGATCCTATGAATTTGCCATGCCAATTTGGTACAAATGTCGAGTACGTACGTGAGATCATGGGAGCATGCATTTGAGCTCTTTTGGCCACAAAGAAGTGCAGATAGGAGGATCGGAGAACTATGGCAGGCATTGATCTGATAGAGAGGATGAGCAAGACAAGGTGGCAGATCCTGTCTTCTTGCCATGGACAACAATTGGCCTGGGAGGCATAGGGTACAAAACTGGTTCTCAAGTTGAAAGATCAAGATCTTCATTCATCAGTCTCCGTTGGACATCAAGAGTCAATAGTTGTCCAGTGGAATGCTCCTGCACTTAGCTTATTGTAAAAGGTTGAATAATCATAATCGCATTCCACAGGAAAAATTAATGTTGAGGTGATTGATTTGGCATTTGTTGAATTTTTTTTAGATAATGAAAATGATTTACATCTCTGGTCTCCACCATAAGGCACAGAACCAATGATTTTTGTTATATGAAAATCAAGCCATAAGGTGATGGGACAAACCCCAACTAAAATTCTAATTGCTGAATAAAAACTCTGCATCCCGGGATCATTTTTTTCATGAATCATGATCCGTGCTTTCAGTCTATCATTTTCAAAGGGACTACACTTTTTGCAGGCAATTAAGAGATAATACTGTTCTTCATTGCCCTACAAAAAGATGTCACAAGAGCAGAGAGGCAGAGATCGAGCTCATATTATTCATATGGTCATATAGAAGAGAACTCCAATGGTGTGTGAGCATGGTAGCTAGGCCTAGGAGGCGTTGGGAACCTTTTTCTGCCACAGGCTGAAGACAGTACTGGATGTAATCCTTCAGCGCACGATAGAGTTGTTAAGCTCCTCCAGAGCAAAGCCACTAAGTGTGTGTCTGATTGCTCATAATTAAACTACTTGCTAGCTAGTTACCGCTTCTAAACTTTTACACTTCACTGAATGAGACCCTTTCAATACACTAAAAATATGTTGATCAGTATATTAGTATACAAGCACATGGTAGCGGCATACTGAAATACAACACTTCGAAGGTGGAAATGGAACTGCTTTGAATCAAAAAGTACATCGATCCTTATGCTTTATAACCATCTTCGTTGGTCCATAGAAGCACATGTGAAGGGAAAAAAATAACTTCTCTACCCTGACGTGAAATGAATAAATAACTCATGGGCTATTGGTGTTATAACAGTTCACTGTGTTTTTGTATCAATTAGCACGAAGTTTAGTTATTCATTGGAAGGACTCACTACTACAAAACCCATAATAGCTAGGTACCAGCTCATAGGTGCCGGTTAATTTAAATTCAGTACCTATTGGTCTTTTCTCTTCTTCACGGGATGAAAAAAATATAGAACCAGCACCTTTGAGCAACTATAGTTGGACACCAATACGATTAGTGTCAGTTCTTTTTAATGCAAGTTTTCTGTTA